CAGGAGTTATTGTTCACCGGCGTGGTGTGTTGGTTTGTGCGTGTACAGCCTAACTGACAAAACTTATGGACGGATTGTAATAAAATGTTCAGGATAGGTCAGAAATTGCCTAACTTCAGAAATTGATAAGGATTTTGGTCGGTGATCGCGGATTCATTAACCTTAATCTCACTAATAAAAATTTTCAGGATAGCTTAAGAATGGGCGGGTAACTTAGAATTGATTACTTTTTGGTGTGATTCCGGATCAATTAATACTTCTAATTTATTAAATTACATTAAAAATTTCACAGTGAGAGAAATTGAGCTGCCTTGGCCGAGGTCTGTGCTCTCATGCTCTGTATTAATATCAGACGTTTAAATAGTTGGCTGTAGGCTTAGGGGAAGCAGCAGCAGCAGCGCGGTGCGCAGCAAGAGAAACGCACGCAGCAGCATCAACCGGCAGCAGCGTAGCAGTAGTATAGCAGTAGCAGTAGCAGCAGCAGCAGCAGCCAGTATAGCAGTTCTAAATAGCAGCAGTAGCAGTAGCATAAGTCAGCACAGCAGCATCACCGGCAGTAGTAGCTAGCAGCTTTCTGCGGTTGTCAGCCTGCACCGAGCCTCGAGCCTGCTGCTGCATGATTACCCTAGTAAGATGCCGCAGTGAACGGCCACATATGCAACACCGGCTCAAAGTATAGAGGCAGGCAGCAGCAGCAGTAGCAAGCGTGAGCAGCCTTATAGTAACAGCGAGCAGCACGACACTCTTACGGCGAGACAGCGCACCCTCGACGTCAAAGCAGGCCAGCGAAAAAGCGGCACTGGAAGTGGAAAGGAAGCAAGATGAAAAATAAGAGCTCGAGCGCAGCAGCCCAATCCCCAGATAAGATAGACAAGAAAAGCAGCAACACGCAACCGCAAGTTCCAAGATAAGCACCCAAGCCAAAAAATGAGAAACAGTAGTAGTAGCAGCAGCAGTCGTAGACGTAAGCTAGTAGCAGCAGCCAGTAAGCGGAGTAGTCAGTAGCAGCAGCAGATAAGCAGTACAGCAGCATCCCCCGCAACTAGTACAGCTAGTAGTAGCCCGCAGCAGTAGCGAGTCAGTGAGCAACACCGGCCAGTAGTGGCAGCAGCAGTAGTAGCAGAAGCAGCAGCGAGCAGCAGCCAACACCGGCAGTGTGGGCAGCAGCCAGTCAGAGCAGAAGCAGCAAGCAGCAGAGAAGCAACAGCATAGCAACAACAGCACATAAGCATGCAACAGTAGCAAGACAGTAGCAGTTAGCAGCAGCAGTAGTAAGCAGCAGCAGTAGTGCAGTAGGGCACCAGCCAGTAGCAGCAGCAGTAGCAGCAGTAGCAGCAACAGCAGCATAAGCGTAGCAGCTAACATTATCATCATCATCAGCAGCAGCAGGCAGCATCACCGGCAAGTAGTGTAGTGCAGCAAGCAGCAGCAGCAGCACGCAGCAGAACGCAGCAGCAGCAGCAGCAGCAGCAACAGTAGCAGCAGTGCAGCAGCAGCAGCAGCAGCGTAACAGTCATTCATCATCATCAGCAAGCAGCAGCACAGTAACATCACATCATTCATCCAGCAGCAGCAGCAGCAGCAGCAGCGTTACGATGAGCTATCAGATGCACACAATCACGCTACGGTAATACCATAACATGCGTTCACCCAGTAACTACGGCTAATACCATAACATGCGGTCACCCAGTAAACTACGGTAATTACCCATAACATGCGTCACCAGTCAAAAACTACGGCTAATACCATAACATGCGTTCACCAGTAACTACGGCTAATACCATAACATGCGTTCACCAGTAACTACGGCTAATACCATAACATGCGTTCACCAGTAACTACGGCTAATACCATAACATGCGTTCACTAGTAACATACCGTTTTCTTCTCCTCACTATAAACGCTCCTTTATATTTTCTCAGCGATGGAATCTCCCAACTGTCGATATGCTAGTCGCGGACTTGCCCTAGAGCGCGCTTTAGGCCTGACGGGGTTTGTCCGCAAGGGTTTCTATACGCCTCTATTTAATTACACACCATGTCAGCCATAGGGAATAATCAATACACGAAACTCGACCGCCATTGTGAACGATATCGTTCGGCTGTGATTGACGCGATGCGACTCACAAAGTAGCTTCGCTACGAAATCTTTTCCCAGCCGAGCGGAGTAACACTGCCAGTACTTGTCGAGACGTATGGACTGATTGGTCGTCGTACTTTACCTAATAAGATCATGTGATGAAATTTAATTGGCTACGTCACGAATTTTCTATGGTGTGTATTTGTAAAAAATAATTGTTGCCATTTTTTACATTAAAAGTAATACTAACGGGACTAAATGGTAAATGTATCGTCAAAATCTCTTAACCTGATAAAGATGGTTTCTCAACGAGTTAACCCAGTCCAAAAACGCCTGGACGATTTGATATTATCGATGCCTGACATTAATTGCTCGCCTGCTATGGCTATGTATGAGTCACGAGTGTAGTACATCGAAACAATTTGTAAAATAAGAAGTATAATGCAGCAATTTAACCATAAAAAGTGAACAGAATTACTCACATTTTGTGAAAAAGTGGAAATATTTATTTAGTTTCACTATTTACGGTGACGCAATCACTTTAATCAAAGTTATGAATAATTAAGGGCGGTGAGCAGCCTACTTAGGCGTTGTTATCGTGGTCGTAATTTGACGAAATGTTTTGGTCTTGTCTGAACGTCTAATAAAACGTCGAAATAAATCTTTACCTTCGCGAAATGCGCGGTGCGTGTGTTCGGTTTATCGCTCGTAATTTCCGTGAAAGTTACGTTTACGCCAAACTGAGCAATTTAATTCATTGCCGTCATTATGGGATGTGCAGGAATTCAATGACATATGGGGACGCCATACTAGGTAAAACATCATCTATGTGAAACCAATGATGGAATAGGTTACAGGTAGAATCTCGTGGTATATATAGTAGACTCACGATGCTTCCGTGGCCTTCTTTCATTGAGGGGACATTGCAGCTGTAACTGATCTATATATAACTAACGCATGCCTTGGGAATTGCATTCTCTCTTGATCCCCACCGTGAAAAACATATTCACCCAATTACCTTGTTCTTGCGATTGAATGCGACTTAATGCATGTTCGCATCCCGTCTAAATCGCTTACTGAAAATAATCATAAAAGAGTAAAAAAACAAAAGATAGGAAATGAAAATGTGTTAAGGAGAGGCCACCAGCGTCGTGCAAATACATTAAACCCGATTCGGAAATGTTTTAGAGAGTAGACCGTTGCGTCATTCCATTCTTTATGGGCACCTTCTCGCTCGTACAGACCTGTTGAGTGATGTCCACTCTGCTAATAACTCTATCGCCACCAGAGTTCTCCCTCTCTAACGTTATCTCCCACTAAACTTCTCTCGCAATGCCAATAAACCCTCTAGGGTCGTAGGCTGAGCAAATTTCTAGGAGGCCAAGATTTCATGACTCAACTGTGTAATGATGACGAGGAGCAAGCTCTTGATCGGATACGCCATAGTTGTAGGTAGGGCAGGCCTGTGAGACAGGTTCTTCAACGAATAAGTGACACCAAATCACGTTAGGGGTATTTTCACGATTATTACCAGGCTTATTTTTTCAATTTTGCCTCCAAAATTAGGGGGAGGGGGGGGCGGGGCTTCCCCCCCACAGCTCGGCCCTTGCCTCACCAGATCTCTCCTCCTTTTTCTCGCCGCCTCCTCCCCACCCTCCTCCCCTCTCTCTCTCTCTCTCCTCTATCCTCTCTCCTTCTCTCTCTCTCTCCTCTCTCTTATACTCTCTCCTCTCTCTCTCTTCTCTCTCTCTCTCTCTTTCTCTCTTATCTCTATCTCTTTCTCTCTCTCTTTCTCTCGCTCCTCTCGTCTCTCTCTCTCTCGTCCCCCTCTCTTCTCCCTCTCTCTTCTCTCTCCTCTCTCTCATCGCTCTCGCTCGCGCCTCTCCTCTCACCCTTCTCTCTCTCTCTCTCTTCTCATTCTCTTCTCCTGCTCTCTCTGTCTCTACTCTCTCTCTCTCCCTCTCTCCATTCTCTCCTCTCTCTCCCTCTCTCTGTTACCTCTTCTCTCTCTCTCTCGGCCGCTCTCTCTCGCTCTCTCTCGCGCTCTCTCTCCCCTCTCTCGCTCCCTCTCTTCTCTCTCTCTCTCTCTGTAGTCTCTCTCTCTCTCTCCCCTCTCTCTCTCTCCCCTCTCTTCTCTCTCTCTCTCTCTCTCTCTCCCTCTCTCTCTCTCCCTGCTCTCACTCTCTCTTCTGTCTCTCTCTCTCCTTATCTCTCTCCCCTCTCTCTTGTCTCTCCCTCTCTCTCTCTTCTTCTCCTCTCTCTCTCTCTCTTCCTCTCTCTCGCCTCTCTCTCTCTCCCTCTCTGCTCTCGTCCCTCTCCTCTCTCCTCTCTCTCTCCTCTCTCTCTCTCTCGGCTTCTCTCTCTCTTCTGTCTCTCTCTCTCTCTGTCTCTCCTCTCTCTGCTCTCTCTGCTCTCTCTCTCTCTCTCTCTTGTCTCTCTCTCTCTCTCTCGCTCTCTCGTCTCTCTCTCTCTCTCTCTCCCTCTCTCTCTCTCTCTCTCTCTCTCTCTCTCTCTTCTCATCTCTCCTCTTTCTCTCTCTCTCTCCTCTCTCTCTCTTCTCTCTCTCTCTCTCTCTCTCTCCTCTCTCTCTCTCTTTCTCTCTCTCTCTGCCAATAACGTCTAACGTATCTATTCCTAACTGCCATTTATTATTATTATGTAGCGAATCTGTTATGACGAGAACAGAAATGGGAGAGAGGGGGGCGACCGAGAGAGGCAGAGACCAGGAGGTACACCACATACACACACACACACACACACCACACACACCACACACACACACAACACACACACGAACATACACACACCACCACACCACACACGACACACACACACACACACATACACCACACACACACAGGACAACACACCCACAACACCACACACATACACCACACACAACACACAACACACACAACATACACACCACACACACATACCAACACACACACGCACGCCACACGCACACACACACACCCACATACGCACACACACACACATACACACACACACACACACACACACACACTCACACACACACACACAACACACATACGTTACACATACGCACACACACCCACACACCCACACACACACAACACACACACACACACACACACAACACACACACACACACAAACACAAACACACACACACACCCACCACACACCACACCACACACACACACACACACACACACACACACACACACACACAACACACACACACCACACAACCAGCACAACACACACAACACACACACCACAACACACACACACCACACACACACACACACACACCACACACACACACACACACACACACCACACACACACAATATAACAATACGCTAATAATTACAAGATCTACTAATACCATGTAAACTAATAGGTATTATTAGTTCTTGATTTTATAGAAATTGGCATCGCATACAGGTGCGAGCAAAACATCGCTAAACGTTGTCATCATAACTTGTATTATAAGTGTACTTAATAAGTGGTACTTAATAAGTGACTTAATAAGATGAACATCGCGATGTCGCTCTTTCCGACGCATTCGTGTTGTTTAGCGTAAGATAAAGGCCGACAAACAACGTCGACGGCGGCTGACTCCTTCCTACCGTGTTCCGCGTGAATTCTTTTTCACCGACCATTCCGCGTTGCAGATTCGAGCAAGGACTCGGTGACGGTCGCCGTGGACGCCGTCATCTATCTCCGCATCAAGAACGCGACGGCACAAGTATCGATCCTCTATATTATGTATAACATATATCTCCCGATGGTCACACGCTGTATTGACACAATTAGCCTCGTATTTTTCATCGTGATTATGTGTTCTAAACAAACGCGTTTGTCGTAAATTCCCGATACGCAATTTATATTGTTACTGATTGTTGTTGAACTCGCATTTGTCTATCGACGCTCCATCTATCTTCCCGTCCGTCCGTCGGCGTGCACATCCTGGGAATTTATCGTGATGTTGCCGCGACTAATGGCGTAAAACAACAGCAGCGCTACAAGTTTTTTTACCGAGTGTAGCGCGCGTAGTGTTTGTTATATTACGTGATATATTGTCTGTTATATTACGTGATATATTGTCTGTCTATTACATTATATTGCCGCTATGAACTGTTGTTTGTCTCCGTGATTGCTGGTGGCATTGTTCACCGCGTCTCTACTGCTGCGTTAATCGAACGTTTTCGTCACCGTTTCAGTCTATTCTGGACGAGGCCACCGATCCTTGGGGAATTCTGGTGGAGAGAGTAGAGTTGTGAGTGTGACTATACGTTTGTTTGTTGTTGGTCTGCGTCTTTGCTCCATCGTGAAGCTTCACGTTTGTGGAACAGCATGTTTAGCGTGAATCACCCACTAGCTTTTACAGTCGCCTTTACGAGAATTTCAACGGAGTTTGACATATTTAAAAATCCGAGTGTGCACGTATAAGTGCAGCATGAACGCAAGTTTACGAAAGTTAGTATGAAAGTTGAAGCGTGCTGCTATCAGATCACGCTTCACGGATTTATGCCTCGCATGTTTACATGTCATCGTCGTCATTGCAGTAATTTTCGTTTCAATAAATAGCAATAGTTACATTAATAATAATAATGATGAAAAAAATAATAATAATAATAAAATATATAATAATAAAAATAAAAATAATAGTAGTAATAACAATAATTATAATTATTATGATTGCAGAAAGGACGTGAGGCTCCCGGTGCAGCTTCAGCGTGCGATGGCGGCGGAGGCTGAGGCATCGAGAGAGGCTCGTGCAAAGGTAAGAGCATGCGAACACCCGTAGATACGTGCGTGTGGTTTATAGCACAGCAGCTAGCTGCTTTACCCGCATACCTGCCATCCTGCTTGTCTTGTGTGCATCACCGGCTGGCTTGTGTGTAGAGCTACCCTTGCGAGGTGGAGAAGCACTGCGATTCGGTAGGGGAAGGGACGGTATACGGTGTCGGTATCATAATAATGTAATAAACGATGCGAACATACGTAACTATGTGTTAATACTACGGATAACTTCATCGGCGTTTTCCGCCTGTTGGTTGCATTCGTCACAACTCCGCGTGAGTGTAGTTGACTAATATTGTAATTTCTACTATTCTTATTCTTAATTTCTACTTCTTCTACTTCTACTTCTACTTCTACTTCTTCAATTTCGCGGCTGTGATAGTGGTCATAACGAATGAGCGCTAGGTGGCAGCACAAACCAATAGACACAGCGATTAACAGCTGTATTAATTTTCAGTGGGAATATTATTGCCATGAGTCGTTAATAGCTAGCCGCCTACGATACAGATTTCATAAACAGTATTGATCCGTGAGTGTGTGTGCAATGAGCCATGAGGTCTTTTGCTTTCGTTGTTGCCTGAACGCATGTTTTTCAGAAATTGCATAATATTCTATTCCGCCATTCCTTTTTATTTGGATATCACAATCTTTTGTTCAAAATAAATATAGGGCCCACATATGTGTTATATACATAACGTGAAAATTGAAGAAAAAACGTAATGAAAGAGTAACGTGACATACCTCGGTGATCATTTACTGGTGAAAACGTTTAGCTGGGAGGTGGACCCACAGATACTCCAACTTATATCACATAGCGTAGCATTAAAGCGTCAAAATCTAATGTTGTTACATACCCCTTACAATCAGTCCTAGTATAGTTTATCACCACATGCGTAGGAAGTTTGTCAGACCCTGTATTAAAAGGTCGTTACTTAGTCTGTCGGCTTGTAAACGAGTGTGTAAATAAGATCAACACAAAAAATGTGGAATGCATGAACCTATATGCTCTGTAAAAATGGAAAGTATTATAATTATGATTATTGTTTTTTGTTTATTTAAAATTATGCATAGCAAAATGAGACTTTATAACTTATTAAGACCTGTCTACTCCCCATAGAAGTGAATTATGTTCGGTTTAGCGTGGCACTGCAAATTCCGCCGCTACATCACTGCTTGTGAACATTTTACTAATTTTCTTTTACTTTTGACCTATTTCGTTTCCTATTTCAGCTTTGCTGCTGCAGTGGCTTCCACGGGATGACTTGGCATGGCTTTACGGGTTCCTCTTATTTCGTCCCCTCCCCCTTCTCTCGTCACTTCTCTCTGTTACTTCTCTCTGTGCAGGTTATCGCTGCTGATGGAGAGCGGCTGGCGTCACGTGCGCTCAAGGAGGCGTCTGACACGATGGCCGATTCAGCGGGCGCCATGCAGCTGCGATATCTGCAAACGCTAAGCTTTGTGTCCGCGGAGAAGAACTCGACGATCATATTTCCCTTCCCCATAGACATGATGTCGTTGTATAAGAACGGCAAGGTGTAAAGCGCGGCTAGTGAACACCGCATGTCACGGAAGACCCCGTCTGCAGTGTTGCCGCTCTTGCTGTGTATGCGCTTTATGTGGTTCCTTTTTATTTCGATGTCTCTTCGACGTTCTCTTGCGCAGGTGATCGCTGCTGAAGGAGAGCAGCGGGCCGCGAGGGCGCTCAGGGAGGCAGCTGACGTCATGGGGGAGTCCTCGGGCGCCATGCAACTGAGATACCTGCAGACGCTAAACTCGATTTCGGCCGAGAAGAATTCAACCATCATCTTCCCGATTCCTATCGAGATGATGTCGAAAATGTCGTCAGGCAAACCGACTCGATCGCCGGAACACGAGCAATCAGTAGGGCTGTGAAAACGCCTGCGGTGTTCAACCGGCAGCGATATAGCAATCAAGAAGAAAGGAGGCATAAAGATTATTCCCCGTATTCTTTGTCGAATAATTTGTCCATACATGGTTGAGTACGAACGTGTATTCCCCAAGATGTTATTGACATTCATGACGTTTGTTAATCATCGGCTGAGAACAAGCTATAGGTATGTTGTACTTATCGCTGTCTGAATGGTTATTAAGATCAGATGACTGTAAAATGTTCGGATATGTTCGGATATGTTCAGATAATGTTCTCCAAATTCAGAATCTTTCTCGGTGATGACGGGTTCCTAATGAAAGGTGTATCATTTTGGACGAGGCGCATGAGTCGTGACCTTGGACGTGGCGGAGGAAGAGGCAGCTATTTGATGTTAGTTTTCCTTGAAGAGTGCAGTTTCGCGTAGCAGTACAAACCTGGCATTGAATCAGCATTTAACTTGCTGTTCACGATTGAGAATGGTTAGTATATTAGAAAGTGAATGTTTCGCAGTTGTCTGCATCAGGCTTTACTATAACTGGAATGTCACCAGAACATGTGCAAAATTAACAATTTCTTCGTTCAATATTTTATTACTATTATTCGATTTAAATTTAATGACACCGTCAAGGTGAACAATTATTGGTCGATTATTTCGTCATTCGAGCCAATTATTTCATGAAGTTTTAATTACGGTTACGGGGGAGTCAGGTTTTTGTATTCTATATTTGTCACATGATGTGATTGTATTTCATGGCGTGTTTTTCATGTTTATTTTAGAAAGTGACCTACAAGCCAGAGGTGTCTTACCTTATGTTATATTATACCAGTCATGTAGGCACGTATATCACTCTGGAGTTATGAGTATATATTATATGAGTATGAGTTATATGTATGATATATATATATCATATATATATATATATATGTATATAACGTATTATATATATATATATATATACGAAATACACTGCAGTGTATTTCAGTATTCACCCTATTGTCATTTTCATGAGGCTATTCTATGGCAGCGGGCAGTCTTATTGTCTCAGCAGTGTACCGTGATTTTGTGTGGTTTGCTCGACATGTACGTTCTATAATATAATTGTGTGTAATTACTACCATTGTTGTGTTAACTACCATGCCGCGAAATCAGCAGTAGGCCTATTACGTGTCTAGCTGTTATGCTGGTCGGTAGACGATGGATAGGTAACTGGTGAGGAAGTCTCCTATCTAGATTGGGTATCGTGGTGTATCTTTATATACGCGGCACTATATACAGACGGAAATGTGAGTACGGAGGTAGTTTTAAAGCGTGCGTGCGTGCGTGCGTACGTACGTGCGTGCGTGCGGGCGTGCGTGCGTGCGCGCGTGCGTGCTTTTAGGTACCCTGCAGTGTATCCGGGTCACACTTACACATCCAATGGAGGTCATCATTGCCATTTCCGGTCAAGATCAATTTCCTCAATTGGCTGTTCTGGAAAATGTGTTTTGATGTTGGTGTGATGGTCTACTCGTGCATCTACAGTGCTTCCTGTGATGAAACACGTGAAGCTGGAATTTGAAAAGAGATGTTGCCTAGCATCTGCTGTATTTACCAATATTAATTGTTTTTATAAGCGCGCCCTTGCATGTTTTTTTCACAGAATAGTAAACTATATTTTTTTCTATGTATACCATGCAGTTGTGAAGATCCCTAAGAGGTCTATAGTTTCTGTCTATAGACGACTATAGCCGTCTGTGTGTACGTACTGTTGTAGTTTGTCTTTAGCGAGGTTTTATAGACTTGTTTTGGTGTTAGTCGTAATGACATCTCTCCATGCATCTATTCCTCTAATCTATCTATTAATCGTATTCTCCTCATATGTCTGAAATCACCCATGCGTGGTTAGGTTTCTATCGCACTCGCCATAGATCTACATGTGATTTTTATTCGCTATTACTCTGCCTTGACATTTAGCTGCTTGACGCGATCCTTCAATGACGAATGCAATTTCGCCGTCAGCGTTTATTCTCAAGTAGCTCTATCCCTCAGCGTCTGAAATATGGGCGTGTACGATTGGTCAATATCGTCAGTGACGTCACGTCCATCGTGCTCAGAGTGCGTGCCACTCCATCTGCCCGTTTTATATGGTGGTATTACAATTTAGGCACGCATTATACTTGTAGCTATATATATATATATATATGTTTATATATATATATATATATACGTATATATATAGTTTTAACACATATCTGTCTATACCCCCTAAATTAAAAGCACTAATATAGATGTACTATTCCCAGAAATTGCATGTGTGTTAATGTGCAGTACTGTAGATATATTAGCGTATGGAAAAATGTCTACGTATGACACTAGTTTTCGATACTGTCCACCTATTGGTTGGATTAAGTGTTATATATATATATATATATATCAGGAGCTAATAATGACTAATCATTTGTCAATGATTAGATCATTGATCATGATCATGATTGATGATTTGATCATTTGTCATTTGTCAATGACTAATGATTTGTCATTATTAGCTCCTGATATAGGCCTATATATATATATATATATACGTATATATCAGAGGTTAATAATGACAAACTTGTCACAATTTGTCATAATTTGTCATTATTAATTCCCATGATATATATATATATATATATATATATATATATATATCAAGAGTGGATAATAGAGATCTCTATTATCCACTCTTGATATATATATTATATATATATATATATATACAGACTTGTGGGAGGTTTACGTAGGCGTATGTAGTTGAATGTCATATATCGTAACATTTCTCCGTGTGTATTCCAGCGTGCGCTCGAACTCTCACGAGTAATCGATGTTTTCCTGTGTCGTAGCGTTTGATTATAAAATACGTATGTGTATACGGACCCATTGGTTACCTTTGATCAGTCTTTGCGCGCGGACTATTTTCTCTACATGGACCCATTCGCTTAATCATCTTCCAACATATTGTTTACGACGCTATGTCGAGTTATTTCCTCATCACCTAGCTCGCCTTTCAAAAAAGGGTAATGCTATCCCACGGGCGTGGAGGAGGGTGACCGCAATGTGGCCAGCATAGTGTTTGGGATAGTGTTAGGATTAGGGTTAGGGTGTCAGGGTTAGGGTTAGGGTTAGGATTTAGGGTTAGAGTTAGGAGGTTAGGGTTAGGGTTAGGGTTTTTTGGCATCGATGATATCTGTCCCCACACCATAGATTAATATTTTGTGGATCACAATGCCTATATATAGCGCGGCGACGCACACATATATTTATTTGTGAGTGTTAGTGTTGTCGGTGTTGGCGTGAGGGCTACGTTAGGGTTTAACTTTTGAACGTCATCGTCAATGTTATCACGTGACTCCCTCCACGTCCCCGATGCTGATAGCAACACCTTCTCAAAAAAGCCCTCTCTATCCACGCTAGAGTCCCTATATACAGAGAGTTGCGCCATGACGAGTCGGAAAACTATCGGTCACGTGGGTTGCTGGACGACATGTTGTTTCCAATAGAATACGCAACGGCCTTTATGGCTCTTGGGTTAAGAAACGTGTTTAATCAAATTAAAACATATCTCAATATGTCTGTATTAATGCGAACGATTTAGAGTTACTTTCGTAGAAATTTAGATGACCATTCATGACGAAGCACATTGTCTTCTAGCTCTTATAATCTCTTGATAATTTTCTAATTTTTTCTTACGGAACCATTTTGTGTACAGCGCTTCCATATCTATCGCTTGTTACCTTTTAAGTCCTGGACTCACTTCACTCCAGGCTGTTGCTTCGATCCATTTTGCGGTGAAACATAAACTGGCACTGTCGCAAATCCCGAGTTGGGCGCAACTCTCTCTGTTACTATTTTAGGGCACTCTAATTCGTACGGCTGTGTATTATGAGAGGTCCCGCTATTTTACAGAGCTTTCAGTTGCTCCCATGACGATTGTCGGCTTAATTAAAAATCTCGGTCACTGACTCGGTGCGCCGGGCACTGTCTGTTTTCCTCAAATTTCGGAATTACGACGCGCCTGCCGCTTAAGGTCACAGCGCTTTATGGATACCGCTGCTCCATTATGGTCCTATAGTAACTTAACTCATAGACTTTAGATCGCTAGCTTTCACGATAACTCAAGACTTTAAGATGGACTGATAGCTCAAGACATGGTGGTTCTCATGTGTAGCTAGATTATATAGAACTGGCAAACAAATATTTACAGCTGCGAGCGAGTGGAGCATGGAACGGCATTTATCTTTCGTGATTACAAGTGACTAGCTTGCTGTGTTTTTACAAGGTAAGAAAGTGTTACAATTAAGGTTATCATTACTGGTCAGCGAACTCGGACTTTGAGTTACTCTTTCTACGAAATTCTTTTTGCTGAATACATATAAACACATTTTGTGTGGTATATCGGATCTCGTGTGATTCTTGAGTTTATTGAAGCGGCGAGCTGGTTTAAATTAATTAGCAATGCTGTCGTACGCGCGGTATCGCACAGAGCCTAATATTACGCACGGCTATTGGGCGCGTGCTAAGAAAGTGTTACAATGTAAAACTATCATATGGCTTCAGCCGCCGAACGATTTGAAGTTACCATTTCTATCAAGGTCTAGGTCTAGCTAACATAGACACGAGTGTCTTAGCTAATAATCTCTGTAATTTTGGAGTTTATTGAAGCACGATTAGTCTAATTAGACTATACGCGGAACCATGAGTACAAGCGTATCCATACAGGCGCTAGTACTCTAAACCGGCCAGCCCTTCTGGGTGTTGTTTACATTTGCTTGAAACAACATGGAAGTCAAATCCGTCGACGTTGGCGTCTACTTCTCTGTACTCATAGGGACTTCTAGATCCCACGCGAGTTCGCGGCCCGCCACCTGCGTGTATGCAGTGCGAAAATCGGGTGGCGCCTACAAATAAATTCGATTTGTAAGTATAGGTCTGTTATAGGTCTTATAGGTTGTATAGGTCTTTATGAAAATTTCTCCGCACGAGATCGCCGGGCGACTTCGACTCGATTCTACTACGTGACCAAACTTCTTCGCTATTATGGATCTAACCCATTTGTGCGTCGCCTACTATGCGACCAACTACCGAGGGCACTGCCTGTTTTGCGATATAGTTTACGAAGAGCTCACATAAAGAAGTTAAACTTCATTAAGTAGTAGTAGTGGAGAATAGTAACCACGGCCGAATAAGTGAACGAATATCTGTGTATGATATCGGGGACGCTGATGCGGACTCGTACCACAACGCTGTATATATTAAATGTTAGCGGACCAACACCCTATTAAGCGTGTGCTGGGTGGTGTGGGTTCTCTCCGCCGGCGTGTGCGTGTGCGTGTGCGTCGTGCGTGTGCGTGTGTGATGTATGGCCTGTGGGTGTTCCCGTTCCCCTTTCGCCGCGGAAACTGACGGGACTCTTTTTTCGTGTGTGTGTGTGTGTGTGTGTGTGAGTGTGTGTGTGCGCGCGCGCGCGTTTGTGTGCGTGTGCGTGCGTGTGTGTGCGTGTGCGTGTGCGCGCGCGCGTGTGTGTGTAACTCCCTGTTATCGAGCCAACCAGCGCCTCTGGCGGGGAAACGAAACGTTATGTTATGTGTAGCTGAGAGGCGGTGAGACAATAACAGTCGGAGGCTCGGAGGCGTGTCTATATGTGCTGGCGGCAAGTATATATCGATGTTATGTCATCGGTTATCTGACAAGTGCAGACGACGGAGCCGTAAATTAAAGCATCTGCTTTAGTCGGCACCACGTCGCATAACATCGCGCACGGTCGACTCAACTGCCAAGGTCATCGTAATGTCACAAGAAATTCCGCTTTACTGTCTTTCACTATTGTCGTTCGCGCGTATCAGGCTTAAAATCTGGCAAATATCTAAAAGGTCTAATAATTTTATGGCTCCTCCAGAATATATATTAATATATATTATTAAATATAGTAATATATATTCCATTGAATTATATTTTACAACATTTCTGCAACAAATCGAATGCATTCTGGGTAAATAATTATTAAAGTTAGTTTTGAGATTTAAATTAAACAACCGAATTTTTAAGGACAGCCGAAGAGAATCAGATTTAATCTTTTTCACCTGAAGAGAGCCGAATTTAATTTCTTGAATAGAATCGGGACGGGGACATCCAATAGCATGAAGTCTAGGTTTATTCCATCGAGGCAAACGAGACACGAAATTCCCTCAATATTCTGTTGCTGTTTCGATCGAGCGGTAGTTGCTGATTCTGCATTACGGAATGAATCGAGAGGATAGAGAAAGTAATATCTACAGGTTGAGTATTAGTCGGTTAGGTTGGACTCATCTCCTTTCAGCCTCGTCATCATTTGATTTTGTCTCACCATAAATAATAATTCGTTGGCTGCAACCATAAAAATAATATAGATAACCTATATCTATCTATATTATTTCTATGGCTGCAACGCTTACCATCGCGTTTTCTATGTTATTACGTCGACAGATTCCTTCGTTGAGAAAAAATATTGTTAACAATGACTCACGCTGACACGCGGTAAACGTTAAGGTGCCTAACCTTCAAGAGTAGTAACCACGTGAAGCTCAGAGCCGTAGCCTGCGGAGGGGGGCCTACGGGCTTGAAGCCTATTACAGAGATTGAATCAATACAATTGCACAAGCTCCTATGTGCTATATATGCTCCATGACGAGTCATAAAACCGATTAATAAGGCGACTTCGTTGAGAAATTCTGTAGTTAATATAACGATGTGTATTTCTCGTTGTGTGAATCATCACGCAGTACGTAAGTAATTATATTACCAGGAGCTAATAATGACAAATTCAGTATGGTCCATTAATTTGTCATTATTAGCTCCTGATATTACTAGACCTACTACGCTCACCGCAGTTAATATAGCAGAGCAACAATGCACTCTGTTAAAATTTTACGTTGACAACTCTAAACCCGGGCTGGGGAGCAGTGGAAACGTTACAGCGATAATCTGTTACGATGTTTATAAGCATAATATAATTTAACTCAAAACGGATTCACTATATTTGTTTTAATATATATACGGTAAAAAATCGCGTTCAGTTTGACCGGCACCAAGTAGCTTCATAGTAATAACCAATATTTCGTTAATACGTCATTACAAATATATATTATTGCATGTCATTTTTAAGCAAGGCCGATATATAAATTATGCCTAAAAAAATAAGCACCTACCAAATATTTGCTCTTGATTATTCAACTAAGCAATTTCACCAAACACACATAATTAAACAATTCGACGCTTCCCAACAAGAAATTGAGCCGAACAAACACAATTCCGTAAAGAAATGTGGCTGTTGCTCTGGCTACCCTTAGCCAGGGAGTAATATCAACCAACCCGAATGTCGATGAACCATCACTGGCCGCCATAATGGAAGCCGCGGGTGAGTAGATGTTTCGCTGCTTACGCGATCTCCTCTATGCCTTGCTACGCCAAGTATCGCAAACTCCGACAGATGGCGCACTCGCTACGCTCAATTCGTATTTGGAGTTGTATACGAAGGGGGCGCTGCATGCAGTTTGCAAGTAGCGCCGTTGCTCTCAATATCCATCGTCCTCTACACGGCTTCGGTCATCTAGATCACGCGTCACGTGTCCCTGAACATAGGTGTGGCCTGCCCCCTTCCCACGATGACTTGCTCCGTGTACTAGTCCCCGTGTAGCCATTTGCCCAACAACAGGGCTAGTCAGCAATAAACGACTTGGCTCTATCCCTACCCATGTAGTCCTTCGCTCCACAACTAAACAGCAATATATAAGTTAGCTCTGTTCGTGTCCCTGTGCGATAACAGGTGCATGGTTAGAGCGAACACATGCATTGCTGTCTAGACCTATTTCACATTGAAAGGACACATGGGTAAAACTCAACGTACCCTTAAACTCCACAATGCATCGCAACTACTGGCAGTCGCGCAGCTACGCTCATAGGGTCTATGTCCCCCAGAGTACTGCCGGAACGTACCCCGAGTACGGTCCTGTATACCGGAACGTACCCTGGTAACTATCTGATATGGTTAGGGTTAGGGTTAGGGAGTAGGCGTAGGCGACTCCCTAGACTCGTTAGTGGAGTAGGCGAGGTACGGTTCGGCATATTAGATAGTACCAGGGTACGTTCCGGTATACCGGACCGTACCCAAGGTACGTTCCGGCAGTACCCTGGGGGGACATAGACCCTCTCAGCCGCAGCTACGTGGGTGATGCGTAGGTGGATTCGCCGCCGTGGTCGTCGTCGTCGTCGGCTGAGAAGTCTTCGGACGCAGAGTAGAACCTCAGTCGCTCTCCGATGCTTGTGGTCGCAGCGCACGCATCCGTCGACGATCTCAGCTCGAGGAATGCTCCTATCTCATCACCAAGTTTGTCGGTGCCGCCCTCTATCGGTGACCTTTCACCGATGAGGTCATCTAACTCTTTGGTAAGTTCGCTAGGGCGCAGCGCCGTCGATGACCGCTTTTCGATGTAGGCACTCAACTCGTTCACAAGTTCGTCGGTGTCGCCCTCTATCGGCGACCTATCGTCGACGATGTTGTCTGAGTCTCTAAGACGGTCGTCGCGGTTGTCGACCGTCGACGAGCGCTTTTCGATGAGCTCATCTAACTCTCTGGCAAGGTCGGCCCTGCCGTCCTCCACAGACGATCTCTGCTCGATGACAGAGTCCAACTCCTTGACGAGGTCGTCGTAACCACCAACGCCGCTGCGCCGAAAGTCCTCGACGTACTTCCGCAGCTTCTGCTTTTCCTTGCGGCGCATGCGCACGTGACGGAACGAGTTTAAACGCACGAAGCACTCGGGTGGGTTGGTGCGTTTCTTCTGAACGACGTCGGCAAGCACGTCTTTGACGACGTCGACGCCTAGCAGTGTGTTGAATCGCATTAGCTGGGAGAGACGCAGGAAGGCGCGGTGCGTGTAGGTGAAGTTGAAGGTCGAGTAGGGAGCGTCGGCGTCGTCGAAAATGTCGAAGTCGGCGAATTCGCGCTCTTCGTCGGTCCTGCGCGGAACACCTGCGCAGTGGGGAACAGTTAGTATTCTAGGAGGACGTACTCGCGAAGATTTTAGTCGAAATATGAGTCTTGGATTAGATTTACACGTCAGACCTTGGGGACTTTGGGGACTTTGGGTGGAAATATCGTTGAGTGCGGCCCTAACTTCATTTTAACGCGCTATTGCTTATAGGCAAACCCTTATGTGCGCATGCCTAATATCTGCTGAAAAGCAAAATTCATTTCTTGAAATTATACTTTCAAAATAGAGAACGCAGACCTTCCAATAGTTTTACGCAAAAATCGATAAATTTGAAAAATCTATTCCAACTCGTCACAGTATTAATTATAAGACCCCGGCTTCGCGTTTCCCTGCAAAGCCGCATAAGATTATGTGTACATTTTATGCCGTTGGTCGGCGCTAGTGTCGTGCATGAAACAGTCTATGACACCAGACGATACATGTATTATTTTGTGGAAATTATTCGTTTAAACTAGAGAGCATATATTTCGAGTGAGTCGATACGAAAAATAACAATACTAATGACTATAATTATAAATAATTATTATAATAACGAGTGATTAGTGTTCCTAAATTCATTGTAACGGTACAGAGCTTACACCGGCATCCCTGTGGGCGCATACCCAATGTATGTTAAAAGCAGTAATAGTCTTCTGAAATTAATATATACGTTAAAATTAAAGAGCACACACTCTCGATTATTCGTCTGCGAATATTCTTATGTGTGTGACGTCAAACGATTTATATACTATTTTGTTTAAATTATTAATTAAACGTAAACAATCACACGCTCTCGAGTATTATGAAGTAAACGGTTTCATTTCAATACTCTACAATTATGAAGCGCTCTGGCTTCCCTCAATACCCGCTATGGTGGTAAAGAACCTACAATTCTACGAAGGGCAACAATGTCTGCACAAATCGGTGGTTTAAGCGTCAATAACTCACCAGGCGTGAGAAACGTCCTGAATTCTATGTTGACGAGGACGAAGTGGACAACGATGGGACAGTACTCGTCAGTAGGGTGTCTGAACACGTACACTTCCTTCATGCCTTCTCGGTCAAATTTCCCAACGTCGATTGGGGGAAAGGGCAGCCCATTCTTCAGTGCCCACGCCTCGGCTAACTTAAGTTCCTGTAAGGATATGCAGCGGTTACGTATAAAGTTGTGTGTGTCTGTATATATATATATATATATAT